ATCGAACAGATTTGAATTAAACTTTTAAGTGTTTACAAAGTAAGCAATTTTGAAAATTTGGTTAAGAATCCGGTAGCTCTGTGACCCCCATGCAATCATTGCATCGGGTGATCAAATGTCGGTAACAAAGCGCTCTCAGACATTGTTGACAACGCATACGTGTCCGATATTTTGAGCAAATAGCACACCGTTGTCGCCGCTCTAATGTCTTTGACATTAGCACTAGACCCTCTGGCATATTCAATTTTTCTGATGGGACAAATCCTTTAGCGGAATCCTTTTTTGCTGCTTCACAGGCTTTCACCAGAAGTTTTTCTGTCGACTCACCCAGAACTTCACACACTTGTAACTTTTGTGGGAGTGTGAGTTTGTTCCTTTCATGCAACTGCCTTTTGAGTTGCATTTGTGTAAGATAAAGGCCCAGGTCTCTTTGGAATTCACGTTGCGTTGGCGGGCTCTTGGAACCCGGTGCAGAAAGCTGCATCAATATCCACGCATTAAGTGCAGCAAAATTCAGAATACGATAAAAGAATGTCAAAGTGTAATTGGTGTTGTTTTCAGGCGCTCCATAATTCGTATTGAATGTTTCGATAACTTTCCCAAACCGGTCACTTGACTTCGTACTAAGGGTAAAGAGGTGCTCAATGGCCACTTTATTTGGTAGTCCACTTGATAGGAGAAAAGCAGCCGCACCTCCAGATCTTCGTGTTAAACATCCAATCTCCGAGTATAACTTCTGTTTTGTCTCGTCAATAATTAAATCTTTTGGAACTTCTTCAGATTCGTCTGACAATGCACCCACCAAAGACAACTGCCTCTCTTCCAACTTGAGTGCTATTTCTGAAGATGTAAACAGATCTGGCAAGATAATATTACGATTGCTCCCCTTAATGTCTGTTACCAAATGGAGTACCGTGCGTTCAATGGTCTTTTTCGATACCATCTGATTTGATATTAGCGCATTGCATATATACAAAGATTTAGCATCACATAATATAGTTAAATGTGAGTTTTCTTGGCCATCTTTCATGTCTACTATCGAATCGTTAACAAAACAATTGCCACTCGGGGAATAATAGGATCGGCAGTTTGCTAAGAATCGTTCCCAAACATCTGTTATTGGCAACAAATTGCGGACTGAGCCCCTCTTAGAAGACGGTGAGCCAAAGCTTATATATTTCGCTAAAAATTCGAACCGTTTCCAAGTCATTGTGGCTCGAAAAATTGAGTTCCCTAACTCCCAAGTCCACAATTCGTTTAACGGACCAGGTTGCGAGGTGTTTCGAAATATACCACAAAGGTAATTCAAACCAAGCCATGCACGCAGCTCCACAATATCTGTACACTTTTCAAATGATGATTTTCCCTTGAGACTTCGTATTTTTTCATTAGTATGTGCAAGAATGATAGCCAATATACGCTCATCCAGAAGCAAATACCAAGCTTCTAGCGCATTTTTAATCTTCGTTGCGGGACCCTTTCCGGTTGGCGCCTGTTGCAATACCACTGAATCAGTTGGAATAAATTGTTTGTATAATGTTTTATTAGTGCTCCAAACAATTCCGTTGGGTGCCTGGAATTCGACAAACGTTTTGGCCCTCTTACTCCTGCTAGGTATCGGCATTGGATTCGATTGTTCTTCTTCATGCTCATTAATGAATTCAAACTCATTGTATTCTCCTTGAAATAGTGGCACTAATAGATTTTCTTCCTTATCATGAAGCGGATCATCACATTCCTGTTCCTCGCAGTCAATGTCGCTAAGAGATTGCTTTACTTCATCTTGTATATTTAGCTCACTGCACTCTGCATTTTCTGTAACTATGGATATTTCTTTCAAAGCTTGCAAAGATAGCTTATCATCTTCATCGTCCGAATCACTCATTTTGGAGAGCTGTTCATCCGTATAACTCATATTTTTAGTTTTATTTAATAAATTTGCAAGCTTCCCAGATGCGCTTAAGCAACAAAAAGATTAAAGGGTTAAGAGGAGTGTTCGCGTGGTAAATAACTGGTACAAGTTATTAAAAAGTAGCGTTCGTTTACGCAAAAAACTTGAAGAACTTGCACGAAGAGAGCATAATTTTAACATTTTTTTTTGCAGGCTAAATATTTTCCCAGCACCAATTTGCAACCAGGATTGTGGTACATGAGCATGATTAAGTAATAATTAATTATTGAATCATGGTACATGAGCTCTGTTCATGTACAAAAATAAACAGCAAGTTAATTTTCGATTATAGCTCTCAGGGCCTGTTTTTCAGTACCAGTTTAAACTTAGATTAAGTAAACTGAGTTTAAATTGAACAGCTGGCTGACATTTGATTGGCAGATCTTAGTTTAAACCAGCCAGATCGGGCGTTTAAACTTAGTTTAAACCACGGCCGTGCACTGATAAACTGGCCCTCAATGAACTTTAATTAAATAGTTTTATTTTGGCAGTTCTAACTTTTTCTAACAGGAAAATTGTTAAGGCCTGTATGCAGCTCTCAAGAAAAGCAAAAATTCCATATAAAATGACGTACAAGAAATGGCTAAGAAATTTTCTTGAGTCAAATTTCCTTAAGGCAATACGCAGTTCTTAAGAAATTTATTACGCTTTCTACTACGGTTTTCTAAAGTTTTTTGTGAAAAAAGAGCACAAGGCAACCCAGGTTTGCAACAGAAATATATGCTCGTTCCATTATTTCTTGAGGAAAGAGTGAGGCAACAGGCTGTGAAGTATGAAAACGTCAAAATTCCTTGGACACAAACACGAAATAATTGCAATCTTTTCTTGACCGTTTTCTTGAGAGCTGCATACAGGGCTTAAGGCAGTACGCAGTTCTTAAAGAATTTGCTACGCTTTCTACTACGGGTTTCTAAAGTTTCTTGTGAAAAAAGAGCACAAGGTTACCCAGGTTTGCAACAGAAATATATACCCGTTTTATGAAACTTGCACGACGGTCGATTTCTTCTGGTGTGATTGAAGTTGCTTATGATTGTCACTGTGTCATGATTTTGTTGAAATTTTTGTAAAGTTGCTTACCACACTTACGATTGCTATACATTTTGCTTCCATTTTTGTAAGATTTTTCTAATTTGATATCTTCAAACTGAAGCACCAAAAACGAACCAAACTCCAAACTCAACAATTTTCGCGTTTTGAATACCCCCTCAATTTGGTGCGAAAAGCATCAAATTGGCAACAGTGAATGTAAACAAAAGTATTTTATGATGTCAGCAATTGGGTAGATGCTGTCAAATCGACGAAGAGAGGGTTAGCAGTCCCTGACTGGCGCGATCTTTATTTTCTGGATCTTGAAGACGACCGGTAAACAGACAAAGCTAAAAGGTCCTACAAACTCATTGATTTATCGGCCAACAATTTGACCAACCAATTTAACGAAATTCTCTACAAACGCACCAACCAGCTGGCCGATTTCATTTAAGTAAGAGTTTTTGAACTGTGAACAGCACCGGTAAACTTTTAAGCTATGCTAGGAATGCTTTTAATTTTTATGTATTAGTTATTGATACCGCCCCCGTTTTCACAAATTACACGCATTTTCACTAGCGAAATGACCAAAAAACAAATGTTAACGTTAATGCGCCTTTAAAAAAATTAAATCGAGTTTTAGGTTGTCAACTTGTCTACACACAGAGCAACAAGTTGACCAATCTGCCTCAAAAATCAAAAATTTTTGATTTTTCTCCAACCTGACGAACAACTTGACGAAGGTTTGCAAACTTGCCTACACACGGCTTATATATCACCAACTTCTAGCGGTTGGCCAAATGGTTGGCTGTTAAATCATTGCGTGTGTAGGGCCTTTTATGTAATAAATCGATTCAGGCTTATCGATAGCAAATAGCGACATCGAAAAACGTTTAATCGTTTTCTTTCCAATATGAACATCCGCTTCCGGAATACAGGAAAAACTCGCATAACGCTGATTGAAATATTAGCCGCCTTCGCTTGAGTTCATCTCCGCCAGCTTAAAGAAAATTTTGTATGCGAAAGCAACAACAAAGTTAGCTAGCAGCTTTGGCGAGTTTGGTTGTACCTAATTATTTTCGTACACTTAACACGTCGCGAAACGAAAGTGGCTATTGTTGGGAAAGAGATTCTATTCCGATTTGTACGTCGCTGGCTTTTGCCGATGACATCGACATCATCGGTAACACAACCACGAAGTCTGTTCTGCCTTTTCCCAAGTTGGATAAGGAAGAAAGCGAATGGCTCTGGTGGTAAACGAGGACAAGACGAAGTGTCTCCTGTCATCAAACAAACCGTCAGCACATTCGCACCCACGTCACTTTTGACGTTGAAAGTATTCAACTCGGAACCCGCTGGTGGTAGAAGAGGAAGGCCCACACTGAGATGGAAAGACCAGGTGGAGAAAGACTTGGCTTCACTTGTCATTTCCAATTGGCGTCAGTTGGCACAGAAGAGAAACGACTGGCGTGCTTTGTTGAACTCGGCCAAAATCGCTTAGGCGGTTACAGCGCCAAAGGAGAAGAATTTATAAATCTTATCACCCATAAGAATTAGGCGAGAAGCTACGCGAAATACCTCTCCAGAGTTTGCGCTTTGATATTTATATTTAAAGTATTACCC